CGAACGAAGCACTCGACTCTCTTCGAATTCCAAAAACATTTGGATACGGATCATGACAAACAAATCGCCCTGGCGGAAACGGGCCCACGCGGCCCCCAACGGCCAACGGGACCATCCTCCCATCCCGCGCTGTTTCTATAAAAGGCCCCAGGGCCCGAAACAAGGTCCAGGGGGACCGAACACATGAGCAGGGCCGACCGCCCCGGCATTCCCACGGACCTACCACGAACGGTTCGTAAATGTTATGACGACAAAACGACGCCCTTAGAACATGATCCCGAAATACTAAAACGAGACAGCCGCAGCCAGGCACGCTCGCGAAACATCTCGCGCATACCGCAAAAAAAAGGTTCGCATGGCATTTCTCGGCACGCCCATTGGCGGGCCAAGGCGCCCCCCCGCTGCTTGAAGCGCGGCGGGAAACTCCAGGGCCGACGCCCATGGAGGAAAGGAAAAATAACGAAATGAATAATCAGAGAACCCAGCAACAACCGAAATGCGCAACCCGGCGCGGGCGATGATAAAACGTGCCCCCCCTTCGACCCCCTCTATTTATATCGCTCCCGTTCGACAGGATTTAATTGTGGAGAGGGGCGCGGATGCCGAACTTTGGGGGATGTTGCGAGTCGAAGTTGCTATCGTCTCACGTCGACGAGCGACGGCGTCGAAAACGCTGAGCGCGGCCGCGGCGGTCTCGCCGCGTCAGCTTCCGCCATCGCGAGCGCGCGGCAGGGCCGCGGGATTCTCGCTAGTTCAGTTTGCCCAACTTACGAACGCGCGGCGGGGCCATGGGACCATCGCATTCTCAGCCGTCCCCGAGAACCCCCGAATCGGTCTTGCGCCGGGCGCCCAGGATCGCCATCGTCGTGACCGTCGCCGTCGTCATCGCCACCGCCACTTACCCCCCCCCGGGAAAACCCACGATTATCCCCGCCAGGCCCCCGAACTTTATTATCCCCCGGGTATTGCTATCGCCCGCGCAGGGCTAAACGCTGGGAGCTCCGAGCAGGTTTCTCAGAATGGCGCTTGCGCCCCTGCCCCCTGCCCAGCGCGTGGACCGCGGCGGGGCGCTGCCAGAGGCGCCGCCAGGCGGGGGGGTCCAACGCCGATCCAAGAAATCTGCGCAGGCTTCCAGCAAGTTCGTGTCGCGTCGACCTCGCCGTTGGACTACTTCGCCAGGCCGACGGAACCCTGGCGGCGCGCTTCGCGCGCGGAAAAAACAAAACCAAAAAAACAACCAAAAAAACGATGCCTGCGAGCACCGCGTGCCGCGCCGCCGCCCCGCGGAGGCCGCGCCCGGCCGCGCGCCCGCTCAGCCCTCCGCCGTTTTGTTCGACCTTGTCCTCCCTCGTGGTCCGGGCCGCGCCCCGGCGGATCCTCTCGAGCATCTCCTCGTTGAGCTAGCTTGGGGATCACCTTCTTGGGCGTCGCCTTCGCCAGCGCTGGGGCCAACCTGGAACAATCGGCCGTTTCCGACACGTCACGTCGTCCATCATCGACCGATTCCGGGTCGCCGGCGGCGATCAACAATGGAACGCCAGCAGCGGGGTCGCTGATGGTCGGCAGGAGCCGAAACTACCGTACGCGGCCTTTCTTCCTCGATTCCCTCTCCTCCAGGGTCCCAGTGTTTGTCTCGCCGGGGCTGAGGTCTGCCATCTGAAAAGCCGCATATCTCAGGCAACCACACGCGCCAAGTTCTCGATGGCTGCACCGAGAGCGCTGGCCTCAGCCTCGAATGACGAAGCGGGCTCCTGCATTGTACAAAAGCGCGGCGGTAGACCGAAACCTCCTTTTAGCAAACCTCCTTTAAATAAAAATGGCCTGGGGTCGAAACCGACGGACCTGGACCCGCAAAAATGACAGCGGCGACGCCCTCTCGCGAACCGAAAACGGCCAATTCGCTAGTGGACGCTTCACGGTAGGAGGTCTATCATCCTCCGAAAGGCGCCACGATCCGAAAGGCCACGGGGACGGGGTGGGCTGTGAGGGCCCCTATCAGCGTTGAGTGGGCGACTGGGGGTCGATGCAAAACCCCCGGGCCTACCCCCCTGACGTTGCCCCCCGGCTCTCGGATCAAAACTCTGCTCGGCTCTCAGGCGGTGGCCGCTGCGGACCGGCCTCGGCGAGGCGCACCTGCTGGAAAACACCCCGAGCCTGCACAACCGCCGAGACATGACGAAGGTATCGGACACCTCGAAAACCTCGAACGCAAACGTTCCTCCCTGAGCCCCAACCCCTCCTTACACTGCCCCTGACCACTCCCGACTGACCCTGAGATCGGACGTTGCGAATCACCACCAGAGACCTAGACCCAATCAATCTGCGTGATTTTTCGAGCCAGATCGATATGTGAGGGTTCTGGGGCCCGAAACCGGGCGAAAACGCCCAGTGTGAAAAATTGCAATTTGAGCAAGGACTGACAGTCCCTGCATTCCTCTAGGCCTACCGCGAAATGTTCTTAGAACCCGAAGCTGTTCGAATACCGAAAACACTGTTCCTACAACATAAACCCGATGTGTTAAAACAAAACAGCCTGAGCCAGAAATGTTATGATCACATTTTGTGCAGACCACAAAAGGTTATTGGAACATTCTTTGGTGGCCTATAGGCAAGCCAAGACGCTTCGCCACTGTTTGAGCAACACCCGGTTATCAAGGCAGAATACGCCTGGCAGACGCCCTGGAGCCGCCGGCCGGCGGCGGCGGCCGCTTCTCCACGAGGGGGCTCCTTGCGCCAGAACGTGCCGAGCAGCTGGGGCACCAGGGCGGTCCCCTGGCGGCGAGGTCGCGTCGGGCGGCATCCCGCTCCAGGATCCCAGGGACATTGGACCGCAGGAGGAAGAGGAGGAGGAGGAGGAGGAGGAGGAGGAGGAGGGCAGGGCTCAAGCAAACACGTGTTTTCGCGTTCGTGTTGTCTCTGCGTTCCTTCGTTCTGTCTTCGCTGTGCCTTTGCTGCGAACCGAAGACAAGACGAACATGGCCCACGAAATCGCTACGAACCGTTGAGCTCGATGCCCTGGAAGAGGGGGAGGGAGGAGGAGGAGGAGGACGAGGAGGAGAACAAGGAGGAGGACGAGGAGGAGGACGAGGAGGAGGAGGAGGAGGAGGAGGAGGAGGAGGAGGAGGAGGAGGAGGGGAGGAGGAGGAGGGAGGGAGGGAGGGAGGGAGGGAGGGAGGGAGGAGGAGAGAGGAGGAGGAGGGAGGAGGAGAGGTCTGGGCTCCTCGAGGCGCTCTGCCCCCGAGCGGTCCTCCTTCCCCCCGCGAGGCCGAGGAGCTCCTCGCGCGGGGGGGGGGGGGGGGGGGCAGGCGGCCCCACGGGGAGGTGGGACAGGGTCGAAGTCTAGGGACAAGGGGGGGAGGGGGAGGAGGGAGGGGGAGGGGAGGGGGGGAGGGGGGAGGGCGGGTAGGGGGGGGGCGAGGGGGAGGAGGGGAGGGGGGGGGAGAGGAGGGGAGCAGGGGGGGAGAGAACGGTGATGGTGATGGCGATGGTGATGGTGATGGTGAATCTGATGATGATGATGATGATGATGATGATGATGATGATGATGATGATGATGATGATGATGATGACGATGACGACGACGATGATGGACGGAGGGAGAAGGGAAAAGGGTGCAAGCGCCCCCGCACCGCCTCGGCAGTTCCGTGGCGGATCGAAACGCAAAACACGGCCGGGGCGGACTGGCGGGGACACCGCGAAGAGGCCCCAAGAGGCCCCCAAGAGGCTCCCAAGAGGCCCCCAGGAGGCTCCCACCCCACGAGGCTCCCAAGGCTCCTCCCTGGAGGCCCCCGAGAGCCTTCTGAAAAGACCCCCAGCAGCATCCCTGAGGACTCTGGCCCACGTCAGCGTCGTCGTCGCCGCCGCCGCCGTCGTCGTCGTCTCCCTTCAAGGTCGGCGGGGTTGATTGGGGAGGACACGCGAGAGGACACAGGAATGCAGAAGGCACAGACAATAGGAATGAAGAAAGCACGGTCGAGACACAAGGGTCTCCTTGACTTCTGCTCATCAACCTCGACTGTAGAATCGATCGGAAGTGGATCGGATCGGCGACGAATCGCCCCGAATTCGGATCGCCGCGCCCAGCCCCGGCTTGGCCCGGCCCCTGCCGGTGAGGCGGACCGAGTGGAATCGAATCGGGATCGCGGCCCCACCGGCGAACCCTGAGATCCGACGCTGCAAACAAAAATGCAACATCGCAACAAACATCACGACTGGAGCCATAGACCCCGTCTGCACAATCGTTCGAGCGGGATCGATATTTTTGAGGGTCCAGGGCCCCCAAATCGGGCGAAAACGCCCGTCCAACAAAAATCGCAACGCCAAGATCTCGGGGAATCGACTCGCGCGGCAGCCCTGCCCGTCGCCGCCCCCCCCCCCCCCCGAGGGCGCTTGCCTCGCAGTCGAAGGCGAACACCACCCTCATCCTGTCGCTCCTCTCGGTGAGGTTCCTGCGGGCCCCGCATCGGGCGAGGAGCTCGCCAGCTCGGGCGCTGCTTCACGGGGGCGCTGCAATGAAGGGGGGGCCTTCCGTACCCCTTTGGGACTCCAAGGGGCCCTTTAGGGTACAGAAGGTGCATCCTCCTTCCTCCCTCATTTACCGCCCCCCTGTTACTCAACGCCCGACTGGCGGCGTCCTCGCTATTGGCCGGCATGCTCTTTTCCTCGGCGCCGAGTGGAGGATCGGCTCGACTGGACGCGGCTCGGAACATGGGCCAAGATGGCGATTGTTGGTACATTCCCGCGGCGGTGGCGGCCAAGCGGGGGGTGCGAGAGATGGGTCCAGGCGGACGAGGAGCAGAGGGGACGGAAGCCGTGAGCTCCGACACCCTGGCCATAGCCCCCATCCTAGTCGTGAGAGCGGGGAAAAGCAGGGTGGGGTTTCGAATTCAGACAGGGGCGCGTCTCAAAACAACTCTCGTGTGCAAGCCAGGCGTGGGTTATTGGGCAAAGCCTCAGGAGCTCATGAAAAGAAGGAGCCCCGCATTGTTCTCCCAATGACTGGCCCATCTTTTTGACGAGGAATGCGAGGAATGCGGAAGAGGAGAGGAGAGGAGAGGAGATGAGATGAGAGGACGTGGGGGAGGGGGGGGGACATAGAGCAGAGGGGGGAAGAGGACCCAGCGCTGCGGAGCGCCGAAGGAGGAGGAGGCGGAGGAGGAGGAGGAGGAGGAGGAGGAGTGGAGGAGGAGGAGGGAGGAGGGGAGGAGGAGGGAGGAGGAGGAGGAGGAGGCGGAGAGGAAGGAGGGGGAAGGTGGAGGGGGGGAGGAGGAGGAGGCGGAGGAGGAGGAGGAGGAGGAGGAGGAGGAGGAGGAGGAGGAGGAGGAGGAGGAGGAGGAGGGAGGAGGAGGAGGAGGAGGAGGGGGAGGAGGGGGAGGAGGAGGGGGAGGGGGAGGGGGAGGGGGGAGGCGCTGCAGGGGAGGGGGAAGGGGAGGGCAGTGCGGGGCATCGGGCAGCGGCACGCAGGCAGGGCGGCGAGGCCACCCCCCGTCTCTTAGGCCCCGACTGGGACGGAGGGCAGCCGCACCGGCCCCGACCGCGGCCTGCCGCCAGAAACTCAAACCGAAGACAGGAAAAGCAGATGACAGATCTCGAACACCGATTTTTCGACTTCGAGCTCGAAGCTCGAGCTCGAAGCTCGAGCTCGAGGCCTGCCTTCCACCCACCCCTCTCGCCCTCCGCTGTCGGGCACAACGCAATGCGACGCAACACGGATTAGAGGTACGTGGATCCGGCGCGTTGGCGCGAGATCCACGGATCGGGGAAGGGACCCCCCGAAACGTGAGTCCAGAGCTGCCCGAATTGGCGACGGAGCGCGCCGATGTCGTATGGAAGCGGGGCTGTCGCTAATCCACACGCCTGAATCCACTTTTGCGTTTCCCTGACGCTCCCTCTCCTCTCCTCACCCCTCCTCCACTAAGCCCCTTCACCCTCGTAGGCGGCAAGGCCGTCCACGGCGATGGCCGATACGACAGTGAAACCGAACAGGCCGAAACCGACATGACGCACGCAGCCTGCAAGGGCCAGCTGCGGCACGGCAGCCGATCGAAACGAACCGACCGAACGCAGCTGGATCGCCCCACCCACGACCTTCAGCATCAGCCTCATCCATGCTCCGCTGCATCCACAGCACGACTCTCCTGCATGTGGGGTATATTGGAGATATTCCCACACCGGGGGTCTTTCGGCCCCGCCTCTCTCGGCAGGGCTGCCACAGCCGAGAAGAGCGGGTGCCGCTGCCCGAGGTCTTCCGAAGACCTGCCAGGCTTCGACTGCTTGGCGGGGGTTGGCGGTATCCCTGCCTGGCGGGGTGGGTGGCGGTTGACTGCCCCTGGGGGCGCTTGACCACCTGCTCCCCGAGCTGGCTCGCCCGTCGCTGCCCTCCTCCCTCCAGTCCTGGCCTCCCGCGTAGCGAAGTGGTCGACCCCCTTCTCTCTCTCTCCTCCGCCTCCGTGCCTGTACTAGAATATTCCGCTTTGGCTCACGACCGCAGTGAACAAACATGAGATAACGTAGATCCGCATCTCCTCGAGATAAGAGCAGCATGCCAGGCATTCGCTCCACCAGTATTACATCACGTTATCGCTTCGCACAGATACTTGCACAAAACCATAACATCGGCTTCTTCTCCTCCTCCTCCTCCGCCTCCTGCCCACGGGTGGGATCTTCCCCGTCGGTCGGCGCACCGTGCGGGGCCCTCACGGCCGATGTGCAGGCCGATGTGCCTACCGCGCTCTCGGCCGATGTGCAGGCCGACCAGCTCCAGATAGCCTTCCATCGTCTGTAGAGGCCTCCTGAGTGGGGTCCGAGTAGGTGGGGTCGGAGGATCGCGCCGCATCGCCGATACATCGTCGACGTCGGCGGTGCATCGGCGACGCCGGCGCGGAGAAAATCGGGCTCCGCATCGAGCCGCATCGCCGATGCATCGGCGATGCGACGCGATCCTCCGACCCCTTCTACTCGGACCCCATCTAGGAGGCCTAGAGTCTGTGGACGTCGTCGTCGTCGTAATCATCGTCGTCGTCGTCCTCCTCCTCGTCGTCGTGCTCGACGTCGGTCGCTCGGCGCCCACCGCCCGGCGGGCGGGGGCCATGGGCGGGCGGGCGGCGGCGTGCCCGAGCACGAAGGCCAGCCGCAGCGTCAGGGGCGCCGAGTCGGCGCCGCCGGGGAGGGGGGAGGAGGAGGAGGAGGAGGAGGAGGAGGAGGAGGAGGAGGAGGAGGAGGAGGAGGGAAGGGAGGAGGAGGAGGAGGAGGAGGAGGAGAGAGGAGGAGGAGAGGAGGAGGAGGGAGGAGGGAGGCCGCCGGGGGGGGGGGGGGGGGGGGGCATCGGCGAGGCAGCGGCGCACAAAGCCCGACCGAAAAGGTCAGCAAACTCAGAGGCGAACACGGCACCGGAGAAAACACCCCATCAGAGTCGTGTTAGGGCTATGGCAAATGGGGCTTTAGGGCTACAGGGCGATGGGGCGATGGGGCTATAGGGTTGTGGAGCTATAGGGCTATAGGGCCATAGGGCTATAGGTCTATAGGGTCATAGCAATAAAGCTGTAGGGCTATGGGGCTATGGGGCTCTAGGGCTATAGGGCTATTGGGCCATGGGGCTATGAGTCTATAGGGCTATTGGGCTATAGGGCTGTAGGACCATATGGCTATAGGGCTATGGGGCGATAAGTACATATAACTAGTAGGGCTATAGGACTATAGGGCTATAGGGATATCTGGCTTTAGGGCCATAGGGCAAGGCCATAATGGCTATAGGGCTATTGGGCTATAGGGCTATTGGACTATTGGGCTATAGGGCTGTGGGCTATAGAACTCTTGGGCACTAGGGCTATAGAGCTCTCGGGCCATAGGCTATAAGGCCATAAGGCTACATTGCTATAGGGCTATAGAGCTATTGGGCTTTATGGCTATAGGGCTATTGGACTATGGCGTGGGGAAGAGCAGGCGAGGAGGGGGCGGTGATACCAGTACTCTGTGTCGTCCTCCTCCTCCTCCTCCTCCTCCTCCTCCTCCTCCTCCTCCTCCTGCTCCTCCTCCTCCTCCTCCTCCCTCGTCTCTCCTCCTCCTCCTCCTCCTCCTCCTCCTCCTCGGAGACGTGCGTCCGACGCGATTGTAGTATAGCGTTTCCCGAGCGGTGTGGCCAGAAAGCGCCCGCCACGACGCATACATGCTATGCGATTTCTCGGTGCGCGCGTCGCTCCTCGCACACAGAGTATCAATACGTCGGGGCAACGCCGACGGCGGTGAATTGTCTTTTCGCGCTTGCTTTTCACTCCCTCCTGGCTGGGACAGGGATGCGTAACCGCAGATCGCCGCCGGTCGGAGGGGGGGGCCACGAAGAGAGATAGGGGGGGTCAGAAATCGAGGCTGAGGTCGGCCCTGTCTGACCCGACTTCTCTCGTGACCAGGGTGCGGATGCCCCGAGTGGGGACTCGGCGGATCGACAGCCAGACCGAGTGGGCTCCACCCGCTGGGCGGAAGTACACGACCTCTGACAAAAAAGCCACTGTGGGCACTGGCGGCCAGCCTGCATCATAGACTGGACAAGATTTATACCCAATCTCAGCCCTGCCATCGCTCGGACGTCCAACGCCCGTGCATATTTGCCGGCTTCGTGCGCGTACGTTTGGCGAGGTGATCCAAGATGCTCCTCGCTTGCCCTCGCCGAGAAAGATGCACACGACCGAGCGACGCCATCTCTCGGAACGTGTGTGCGGGTGCTACTGACGTAGCACCGACCTCTAAATCCCGCATCCCCGCAGCAGCCCCCAGTGGTGATCCAAGTGCACTGGCCTGGTCCTCGACCCAGGATGAGCCTGGCTGGCATCGGTGCAGGTGTATACCTGCCGCCCTCAGAAAAAGGGGGGGGGAGAAGGGGGAAGCGAAGGAAGGGGCAGAGGGTGAGAGCCGAGGGCGGGGGAAACTAGATGGAGAGAGCGCAGTGGCATGACATGCGAGGGGGGAAAGGGGCTCCAGACCTCCAGCGTCAACGACAACAACGGAGCAGGCCAGACTCTCCCACAAACGCACAAGCTCGTGCGGGCCCGCTTTGGGCCCGCATGGACCGCAGAAGGGCTGCTGTTCGAAAAAATCTAGACCTCGAAGAGGGCTCGAGAGCTCCGGGTGCTGACGTCATGGCGAATCCTCTGGGTCGCCCAACTCCTCGCAAGGCGCCCCGCGACGCGCGATGCCTTCGCGCCATCGCGACGCCCCGTCGGAGAGGAGCAGCCGCTCTGGTCCGAACCGCGGCGCGCAAAGCGCGACTATCTTCGCACCCCCTGGGGGTGGCCTGGGGTCGTGATGTCGGACATCTGAAGGAGGCGGGGGGGATGCGGGGAGGGGAACGGGGAGGGGAACGGGGAGGGGAACGGGGAGGAGGGAGGGGGTGGGAGGAGGGGAGGGGACGCGCAAAGCAGGGAGAAAGGACGCGGGGAGGGGACCGGGAGGAGGGGCGGGGTGGGGAGGAACGCGGGAGCGTGGGACAGAGGAGCGAAAGAGCGAAAGGGGTGCGGCAGCAGAGGGCTGGACTGGACGCGAGGAGCAGGCAAGCGCGGCACGGCCAGTGGAGGGGAGTGGGGGAGGCGCCTTCGCTCTCGAGCCCTTCCCCCCCAGGCCGGGCGCTGGGGATGCCACGGCGCGCGAGTTCCCCTCCCCCTCTCAGGATGTGCTGCAGGCCTCCCGAGGCCTCTGTGGGCTCCCACAGATCAGCCGAGAACGTCCAAACGATCGCCTGCACTCGGAGCAGGACGAGTGCAAACAACGGCAACTCGACACCGGTCCCCGGACCCCTCCCCGGGGTCCAGACGCACAGATGCTCCGATCGGCGTCCAGCCCTGGCGGCGCGGCCCCCCCAGAGACCAATGACCGTTGTCTCAGCTCGCCCTCCTCGGATCCGCCTCGCTGCATTGCCTGTCCGCCCGCCCGCCCCCTCCCGCCTCGCCCCCCCCCCCCCCTCTCTCGCGCCCGTCCCTCCGCGAGGGAGCCTCAGGGTTCTGACGATCTGCCGCACGTGCGAGTCGCCCCGCGCGATCGCCTGGCGCGACGGAGAGAGAGAGAGAGAGAGGGAGAGAGAGAGAGAGAGCGCCCGCCGACGCAGCACGGGAAGAGGGGGGGGCTGCTCCCCGGGGCCAGGGGCAGGGCAGCCACGCGCGACCCCTGCCGCCGTCGCCCTGCCTGCAGAGGCCCCGGGCGGCGCGCAGACAGCCACCCCCCCCAGGGATAGTCCCGGCGGGCCTCCGCAGGCCGCCCCCGAGTCGTCTGGGGCGGCCTCCTCCAGAACGCGAGGCCCTCCTCCTCCTCCCCCTCCTCCTCCTCCTCCTCCCTCCTCCTCCTCCTCCTCCTCCTCCTCCTCCTCCTCCTCCTCCTCCTCCTCCTCCTCCTCCTCCTCCTCCTCCTCCGCCTCCGTCCTCCGTCCACCGTCCTCCTCCGTCCTCCTCCGTCCTCCTCCGTCCTCCTCCGTCCTCCTCCGTCCTCCTCCGTCCTCCGCCCTGGCGCCGCCTCCAGAGGCGCCCCCCGGGAGCGGCGGGGGTGCAGCGAGGCCGCCACGGACGACCCCGGGGGGGGCCCTCGAGTCCCGCCGGGACCAGCTGGGGGGGGGCTGTCTGTGCGCAGCCCGGCACCTTCCCAGGAGCACCGTGCAGGCAACACCGAACAAATAAAGGACGAAGGTTTCTACTCTTGCGTCTGGCCACGGCTGGCCTCGGCCACGAATAGGTTCCCCGAGCTAGCTCTGGGGAACGGCCCTGGAAGCCAGAGCCCATCCCGAGCTCAGGGTCCGAATGAGGGGGGCGCACGGTCATTCGCCGTCCTTGGGTGCGTGGCTGAGGTGGGCTCCCGCGGTGCGGATTGCTCTTGCTGGTGGTGGTGTTACTTGTTGTGTGCTGCTTGCTGTCGTCGTCACACCCGCGACCCGGCCTGCGACCCACCCGCGACCCGCCCCGCGATCCACACGCGACCCATGCGCGACCCACCCGCGACCCACCCGCGACCCACACGCGACCCGCCCGCGACCCACCCGCGACCCACCCCGCACCCGCCCCCACACTCTTACCCGTGCTACATTGCCATTAATTCAGCGTCCTGACTGTACCCGTGCAAGTTAGAGTTCAGAAACACAGGCAGGGGTTTAAAGACGAAGAATGTCTGCAGCCAGGTGACCCTCCGCAAGTGTATCCAACAACCTGGAGCCATTGAACCCGCAGGGATAGGGTTCGCAAGTAGTCGCAGAAGGAGGCGCGAGGAGCGAAGAGAGGCAGAGAGAGGCACAACTAAGGGCTGAGGCCACCTATCTTCGCGCATCGTGCCCCACGATGCGCACCGCGTGGACATTTTCGCTCCCTCCCGCCGTCCGCCTTGGAGAAGGCCAGCTGGTCTGACCCAGACAGTGACGCGCGAAGCGCGACTGCCAACTCGCCGCTGGGGGTGACCACAATAATTCCCGATGAACCTCAGAACGTGTGTTAGCGCCGACGTGTGCTTGTACAGCGAAGCCCTTCCATACGATGAGGGCGGTGCAATGAATGAGGTCCGACACAGTCTGCGCACCTTCGGTGGAGCTGCACGGAACACACACACACACACACACACATTAGGTTAAGACATCCTTCGGGCCCTCGTCGGCCCCTTCGTCGCTCCATGCCCGCGCCTAGCGAAAACCATTATGTGCCCCCACGGGGGGGAGGCGGCTCCTTAGAAGGCGCCGCCTTACATTTGTAGAGAAGGCCCGCGCCTGCTAAGAAGCAGGCTCCTTCTAAGAAACCTTCCCCCCTCCCCCCACCCCTCTGCACGTGGCCGAATAACCTGGCGGTGAAGGGTCGGTGGTTCGAAGATGGAGTCCTGAGGGATGGGAACCTAAAGATAGGAAGGGATCCACGGGTGACCAAAGGTACAGATACCGCTACTGGCCAGAGCTCTCCTGGGGTGCGTTCTGACCAGAATTTCGAGGCGAATCCAACGGTGGCGAAGAGGGCCTCCCAGGAGGCCGATCGAGGAGAAACGGGGCGAGGGCAATTAGCGGCATGGGTACCTCTTCCTCTTTTGGATCCAGGCATGGATTTGCGCTCTTGGAGGCACCTCGTCCTGAGGACCCCATCCCTCAGGAGCTCGCTGTGCGCCGATGTCCGCTCTGCTGCAGCGACCGCGCGCGCCAACGGGCCCCGGGCGGCCGCCCACGGAGGAGGGCCTCCCGCCCGACAGTGCCCTCGGCCCGAGCGCTTACACGGTCAACCCGTATTAGAAGATAGTCACGGAACGTCGCACTGGGCGGGGGAAACGCGTGTGAACGTTGCCGCCGGGGCCTTCGGTTGGGGCTCCCTATGGGTCACGGGGCGCCGCACTGGGCGGAGGAGACGTCTGCGAACGTTGCCATTCGGGCCTTTGGTGGGGCCCCTTTGGGCCACGGAACGTCGTACCGGGCGGGAGTGACGCATGCGAATTTTGCCATTGGGGCCTTCGGCGGAGCCCCCTGTGGGAAACCGAACGCCGTACTGGGCGGGGGATGCGCATGCGGATGTTGCCACGCCATGTAAACGTTTTTCGAACGAGGTTGGCCAGCGAAAGTTGCGTCGGATGGGCCGAGGGGGCAAGGATGCAAGGGCAGCCCTGGGAAGCTGCTCATCCTTCTCTGTGCGCGGGGTGACTGTATACCCTGGCGGTGACAGGTGGAGGGCGGGGGGGGGCGAGGGCGGGGGAGCGCGGAATCCTGGCGAAGCCGACCAAGGGGGCAAAACGTTATCGATGCTGCTCCTCCAGGGGCGCGTCCTAAGCAGAATGTCGAAGCGAAGCGGACTCTGGCGACGAGGGAGTCGAGGCGATGCGAGCACGAGGTGCCGTTCCGGCGGGAGCGGCCCTACGAGGGCAGCGCGGGGGGGACGGGGCCCTCAGGAGATGCGTCATGAGCAGGAGTCGGAGCCTGCATCGTGGGCTTGAAATCGGAGATGGGGCATGGAGGAGATTGCTCGCCGTCGTCGCAAGTACGTGCGCGCAACGGCCACCCTTGTTCCAAACCGACCGCGTTTGCGACGAAGGAAAGATAGTGGGGAAACCAACAGATACCGATACCGCTACTCCCCAGACCTCGCCTGCAGTGCGTTCTGACCAGGATTTCGGGGCGAATCCAGCGACGGCGACGAGGGCCTCCCAAGAGAGCCCCAAAAGGGGAAAGCGGGCGCAGGGTAGAGGTATGGGCACGTACCTTTCCCTCCTCTGAGGCAGCTCGGTATCGGTACGCTTCCTCTTCCGAGGCCTCGCGGGCGTCCTGCGGCCCGCGATATTGAAGGGAAACTGGGACACACAAAGAAATAGACACCAATAACCAGATTCCCCATATGTTCCCATACTTTCTGGGCTTCTTTTCTCCCCCCACTTCCCATATTTTCCCATATTTTCTGGGGCATCGACGATTACTCATGTCTGTGTTTTTTTTTTTGCCCCTCCTGAGATATATAGCAGCCCTGCCGCGGCGGGCGCGGGCACGCACACCTCGGGCCCGCGCAAGCCTGACCACGCGGACCCCTCGCCGGCGGGCCTCTCTGCGGCCCTCGGGAAAAAAAAGGCCCCTCGTCGGCCGTCCGGGGCGGCTGCTCGTGCGGCTGCCCGTGTCAGGCTTCTCCCGCGGCCTCTTCGTGCTGCTCCGCCGCCTCCTCCTCCTCCTCCTCCGCCTCCTCCGCCTCCTCCTCCTCCGCCTCCTCCTTCTCCTCCTCCTCCTCCTTCTCCTCCTCCTCCTCCTCCTCCTCCTCCTCCTCCTCCTCGTATGCGACCAGAGCGGGCCAGGTCATCGCTCACAAGACCAGGCCACACCAGACCACAGAGGAGCCCACCAGGCCAAACTACACCCACCAGGCCAGACTACACCACACAGGACTGCAGCAGGCCGTGATGGCCAGAACATGCTCGACAGAGAAGAGGAGAACGAGAGGAAATGAGAGAGAGAGAGAGAGCAAGCAGATCCGCACGCACATGGGCATGTGTTCGGCTTCACTCCCCGTCTGATATCCCAAGGTCCACCACTTACACGACCGACTCCGTCGCTTCCTCATCCTCGGCTTAATTACTGCTATGATGCCTCCTCCTCATCTTCCTCCTTCTGTCCCTCCCATTGATGTCTCCTCTCGTGCCACCCGTGTATGTGGTGTCTGTGTGTACGACGTGGCGTCACGTTCCTCCTCCTGCCCGTCTCGGCGAGATACTTGCAAGGCCTGTCAGGGAGGGCATGCGACAAGGAGCGGGGAGAAGACATGACGAAGGATGGGGAGTACAGCTATCGCGCTACCATAAACAGCGCTCACTAGGCAAGCCTCGGCCAAGAATGGGATCCACGACCCGAACCTGAGGAACGGCACGAAAATCAGAGCCCCTATTAAGCCCAAAGTCGTCGGTACTTCAAACCTCAATACTCCTCCTAGACATGAGCGCGACACTGGTCGCTGGATGTGCTGGCGGGGACATGCGAGGCAAGACACATGCTCTCATCGCCACGAAGGAGACTGCTCCTGGTGTCGGGGGCGTCTCTCTTTGCCGCCCCCGATGGTGGAAACGGGCTCTGCTGCAGTGATCGCTGTGACTTGCAACAGTTGCAAGGTGGTTGCAAATTGTTGTGTGGGTTGCTAGTCGCCCTAGCTGTTCCAAGTTGGGTCCGAGACTTCAGTTCGGCGGACCTGCAACCCACTCACAGGCACCTCGAAAGTGAGTTGCAACCACCTTGCAACGGTTGCAACTGGTGCAAAAGTCGAATCACCCACTCCAGTGGGCGCAAGCACCATCCCCTGGACCAGCTTTCAGCCCAAAAGACAGGGAACGCCTCCGGGACACGCCTGGCCCTGCAGGCTGCCATCACCACTGACCGCGGCGTGCACGTGATCCCCCTTCCCTTGGCGTCGCCGAGGCCCTCCCTGAGCCAGATGCGCCGGTGGCAGCCGCCCAGCGCTGCCGCCCCGCGCCGCCCGCCTCGCACGCCGAGCTGTGGAGCGTCAGCTTGGAGAAGATCCGCGCGACGTTCGTCAGCAGCTGCCCGGGCGGCGGTCCCGCCCCGCGGCGGCAGCCGGGGCGTAGGGCACGGCGGGGCAGCGGCAGGGTGCCGGGCCGGGGAGCACGTGTGGCAGCGCAGGGAGGGCACAGATGTCCTCGGACTCCCGAGGGGGGGAACGAGGAGGGGGGAGGTGCATGCCGGGACGCTGGGCACATGCGCGCGGCTGGATGCACATGCGGAGAGGCCACGCGCCGGGCGCGAACATGCGGGAGCCCAGCGTATGCACGGCCAGAAAGGCCCGAGCACTGGAGAGGCAGCCGGCCACGGGTGTGTCCAGCTCTCGCCCGGGCTGGCCACGTCGTGCGCAGCCAGTTTCCTAGGAATTTATGTTTGGGCCCCCTCCCTGGGCCGAAGCATGACCACATCCGCCGCCTCCAGGCGTCCAGGAAGATCGGACTCGCGGGCAGTGGATGCGGGGGGAACCAGAAGGCACACCAACACAGTTTCTCCACGGACCTCCGCTGGGGTGCGCTCTGTCCAGGAATCTCGGGGCGGATTCAACAGCCGTGGCGACGAGCGCGGCCTCCCAGGAGGCTCAAAGATGCGCGAAAGCCAGGGAAGGGCAGCGATATGGGCACCTTTCCTCCACTCCTTGAGCGGGGACCGAACGTCCCGGCATTCCCATAGGCCTACCACGAAATGTTCGTAGAACTCAGAAATGTTCCCAAAACAATATTCTTATAACCTGAGCCCGATGTGTTGAAACAAGACAGTCCCAGCCAGAAATGTTCTGAGAACATGTCGTGCAAACCACAAGAGGCTCTTAGAACATTCTTTGGTGGGCCTATATAGGCGAGCCAGGACGCTTCGCCACTGCTTGGACTCAAGTGTGGATCGATCCCGGCCTCGGATTGGCATCACTGCCGGGAGCCCCAGCCCCGGCCAGGGCCGCCATACACGCCAAGGGGACCCGCAGTAGGCGAAATTGCCCTCTGGTTTGGATTCCAAAGTGGGTCTGTTAGTATAGAGAAGGTCATGCAACAAACGTTGCGACACATATTCTGCGTATCTGTGCATATGCAGTCTGGCAAATCGGGGCGGCATCATCGCGACGCCAAAGGGCGTCGCGGACTCGAGCCTTTGGCCTGGAAGCACGAAACGCACGATTACCCATATCATGAAGTTCTGCAACCAGTCACTGTGTTCTGGGGGTGCACAGACACGCAAAACACTGTTCAGCTAATCGTTAGCTGGCGCCCGCCTCGAACTCATGCCCCACCCCCCGCCTCTTCCAAATATCCCTTCGCTGTGGCCCCACCCTCCTCATGCCCCTCCGACTGCCCCGGTCCTCGTCGTGCCCTTCATCCACGCTGCTCCCCCCCATGTGCCAATTCACGTCGTCCCTCGTCGTCCTCCTGCGCCGGATTCGTTCCCCCATCGTCTACATGCCCGCCCCCCTCCCATCCTCTACGCCTTAATGCGCATCATGCCCCCAACTTCTGCCCGTCCCCCGCCTCCCTCGCCCTCGTGATGCTGACACCGATGATGCAGATCCTCCTGGGCTCATTTCCTCCGCTCTCGTCCAGTCCCGTTCATCCTTGGCCCCTCGGCCACCCCCCCTATCGAACCCCTTCCTTCCCACAGCCCACCATCCACACACCCCCGCGCCTTTGCATGCCCAGACCACGGCCCCCTCCTGGACCAGCCCGGAGACCCGCGGAAACTCCCGCCCATAGACCACTCCAGCGAACGGCGCGCAACAAATGCACAGTTGGAGACACGAACTGTGTATTTCGACCGCGCACGACGCTCCCCCTGGACCAGCCGGAAGAGAAACGCGAAAGTTCCCGCCCATTCAACACCACCCGCGAGGGACACACTCCAAATACACAGATGGGAACGAGATCTGTGTACACACATCACACCACGATCTGTGTAAACAGCGGGCCCACACACGAAAATACACAGTTGAAGACACAAACTGTGTACACAGATCACACCTTGATCTGTGTATTTAGGAAAAGTAAACGCTCGCCACCTCGAGGGCGCCCCGACTTTGCCAGCCCAAAACCGAGGTTGACATGCCCAGTTGGGGGGGAATGCGAATACACACTTCCCCGGCCCAGGGCGCCCCCGAGAGAACCGCAAATACACGTTTCTATGGCCCAGGGCGGCCGCGGTGCAACGCGGCGCCAAAGCGGCCCCCAACGGCCCGAAGACGCCCCAAAAGGCCTCGAAGGACCACAAAGAATGCCGCGCAGCAGTCCGAAAACACGAGAGATGTCACATGTCACGGACCTCTTAACAGTCAAAAATCCACGCGTCGCCATATAGACCACTGCTCCGGCAGGGGGGCGGACCTTGCCGCAGGCACTTATAATTTACATGTTAGCGATGCGACTGTGCTCGGCGGCCGTGCCGCCCGCACTTTGGGTGCGCCCGGAACTCTCGCATTGGCAATCCCCTCTGTTTGGTTGCGCCGCTGTGCTCGGATATCGAAAAAGCATTTACCGCTGACGCGGGCACGCGGCACCAGGGACTTCATTTTTCGAACAAGGAGGGTGGACGAGGTAGGACGACGGACGGTGGAGCAGGGAGGCAAAAAGGAACGAGGAATAATAAGGGAGGTGGGAAGGGGCGCTCCCCCGCCCGAGCCGCGGACGCTTTCGACACCATCCAGGGGAGGGAAGAAAGGAAGGGGAACGGAGCAAGGGCGAGGACGACGACGGGAAGCAACTGTCCCGGGTCCGCATATAGCCATATGTCTGCGACTCGGGTGCGCGCGCTTTCTTCGAGGCGCTTCAAGCAGGACCCATGCTGAATTCACTAATTCCTCAAAACTGTGTGAACACTCTGTCCTCTGTTCCCTCTCCTATACAACGGCCTCATAACAGAGGGGCAGTGGATTCCAACCTCTGGTGCGCGGCTTGAGGCGGGGCGCGGGCCCTACCCTTCCAGGAGAGGGAGAGCTAGAAAATAACAGCAGGACCCCGCCATCTGAATCCCCGTCGAGGTTTTAGGCAGTCCAGGGATAGGACTATAGGTCTGGAGGGCTGATTGTTTAGTACCACTCTGGAAGGTCGGGGGTGGGGCAACCCCAAGGGGGGGGGGGGGGGGGGGGGGGGGGGGGGCAACCCCCAGCGCGCAAGCAGCTGCTGTCGCTTCGCGCTCCGCGATCGCGGGGGCCCGGCGTGCCTGCACCAGAGGCAGGATCGGCCGACGCCGCATCGAGAAGTCTGCTCAGATCGGAACGGAAGCCGCGTCGCATCGGGCTGCACTTGGCGGCGCGCGCAAGGGGGCGGAGGGAGGGGGGAGGGCTTCTTAGGAGGCTGCTTCTTAGAAGGCGCCAGGCTTACATCTATAGATAAGGCATCTCCCCCCGCCCCCCTCTGCGCGTGGCCGATGCATCGGCACGGGCGGAATCGCATCGGATCGGCTGCGACAGGATGCACAGCAGCGCCGTGCGAGCATCGGGCAGCATCGGATCGGCGGAATGCCGGACTCGAAGCGGATCTGCCCAGCCATAATCGATATCAAACAGGATCGATTGGATGGAGAAATGGACCCTGCCAGAGGTCATTCCGCCGAATGACCACTCCCCTGAGATCCGACGGCGCGACACTTATGTGACATCGCAAAAAAAAAAAACACGACCGGAGTCCCATAGCCGTTCTTTCTGCGCCCTTCCTCGAAGCGGATTGATTTGTGAGCGCCCCAGGGCCCGTAACCCGGCGCAAACGCCCGGCTCGAACAAAAACGAGACGCCAGTATCTCAGGGTCCTACGCGCAGCCGATTGCAAGCATGCGGCCTGCCCTGGGGTAGACGCCTCCCAAATCGGGTCCGAAACGATGGGGTCGAAAGATCGCGCCGCATCGCCGATGCATGGCCACTGCATCGCCAATGCACCGGCAGGCAACGTCGAATATACAACAGCGCCACCGGAGTGGAGAACATGGAACCCTTATCGAGCCGCATCGGCAGTGCATCGGCGATGTGGCGCGATCCTCCAACCCCATCGACTCCGACCCCATCTAGGTGACGAAAAAAAAGAAGGGTCTTACGCAAGACGACACGGCGACCTTATGCGGGCCGCCAGCGCGGCACGCTACACAGGAAACGAGGGCGCTTACGCGCGACCTCACGCGAGCAGCTGCACGCGAATGTCGGCGCAGACGACCACGTGTTTTTTGCGTCGCCTACCTAAGAGGCCTAGACGGCCAGTGCGGAGCGTTCGGGAACCTTGGGGATCCTGGAAATCTGGGAAATCTTAAAACGTACCATGATCTGACCTCTTGCTCCTCAAAATATACTCCGACCCCCTCTGAAGGGCCTAGACTAGAGGCCACCATGATGGGCTCCGGGTAGATGGGGTCGGAGGATCGCGCCGCATCGCCAATGCATCGGCAAATCATCGCAACTGCATCGGCGATGCATCGGAGACGTCGGCGATGCATCGGCGACGTCGGCGTGAAGAAGATCGGGCTCCACATCGAGCCGCATCGCCGATGCATCGGCGATGCGGCGTGACCCTCCGACCACATCTGCTCCGACTCCATCCCGGAGGCCTAGACACGCGGAGCCCCGACCCTGACCTGCTCGCGTCCTGAACAACAAAAACGGTGCGGTACACTTCTGGCCGTCTTGGGCCGCTGGGGACCCTCGCCAGGCCACCGGGCCGTCAAAAAAGTACTCAGGATGACCTCGCCGTCGCTCGGACGTCTACAGCCGGGGCGTTGACCCAAGGAACCCTAAATGAAGAACGGGGCCCCTTCCTCCCAGAAGTTGAACTTCGATTTCCCATGGAAAACCTCCGGAAAACAGGTAGCAAACCGCAGAACAATCAAGGAACACCGAGCCCCTCCCCAACGAGAAGGGTTCCTTCTTCATGGGCCCCGACTGTATGCTCCGTGCATGTGTCGGCTCCGTGCGGGCGCCGCCAGCCGGCGCTGGCGCCGGCGCCAGCCCGGAGAAAGGGGGGTGGGTTCGAACTCCTCTCCTCCCCTTGAATCGTCGTCCTCGTCGATGTTCCCCGCCGCC